ATCCAGACCAGCCTGCGCATCCGCGCAGTCTGATCAGGATCCATGCTGTTCGCTATCAGTTTCTCTACTTGCAATAGAGTTGGTAAGCGAACTGCTGGATCCTGATCAGACTGCGGAGATGCGCAGGCTGGTCTGGATCCATGCTGGTTGCAAACTCATTATGTTGGTTTTGTCATGACATGGCTCATTTGTGCTTTCAATTGAGTCATATTTTTCTCAATGAAAATAATTATTTTTGAAAAATTAAGCAGAATATCAGCCAATGATCTGAAACTTTGCACAATAATAATTAGTCAAGACCTACATCAAATGGAAATTAGCAATCTTGAAAAAGTATGTCCAGTCCCATCATGCCAAAAAAAAACTCAGTGGAGTCCCTTCATTTAAAATGCTAAACCTCAGTGGAGTCCCTTTAATTAAAATGCTAAACCTCAGTGGAGTCCCTTTAATTAAAATGCTCGCAGGGGGCATTAATTAGAGACTGTACTATATTTGAATGATGATACTGCTGATAATTACAGGCCTAATTTTTCCACTTGAACATATTCATCATGTATAGAAGTTAGTCTAGTCAGTAGTCTACATCCTCCTTCTTTTTGCTACATTATTGATTTAATTAATGTTAATATTAAGGATTGTTATGTTGATATCCCTTGAACAAACAATGGTTTATCCAAAAATCAAGGCCGGACAGGTCTATTATATTAATTTGGTAGTATTTTTACTGTAAATTCCCACAAATAAAATTAGATTGAAATGATAAAATAATGATATTATCGTAATTGTATTGTTAATACATATATATACATGTAGGTCAAGTCAATTTGTTATGTTGATCTACTATAAGTTTGTAGTTACATTTTGTACTTTAAAACAGATGATTTACATCTTATATTAATATATGATCCATTCTTTAAATTGTTTGTAGGCAAAATTAAACTTGAAAAAAGGTATCTGTTATCGCGTAAGTTTTAAAAAAACAACAAATTACAACAAAATTGTTGTAATTATATAGAATTTAATTTATAGTATACAACAAAATGCACAAAGAAAATACAAATGGATTATTATAATAATAATTGTTGATACAAAAAATATGTGTGTGAAATTCAGAAAATTTTATTAAACTAGCCATGTAGTGATAATAATGATTTACTCACTAATTAATGTAAATACATGAAGTTTCACTGGGATATTTACTATGTACATAAGGGTTCATTGAAATACTAACCTGTGCATAAAAGTTCATCATCTTGAAGGAATTACAAGGTAAGGCTGTATTTAAAATGATTTACATCACTGGATTATTTTCATCACAGTTGTTTTAATTTGTTTAGCTTTAATGTAACTCAGAATTCATGATTTTGATAAACTTCAGATCTGTGACTGTCTTTGAACTTGATTAATCAATGAGTCACTATTAATTTTGAATTTTAATCTTTGTACCCTGCTGTTTTCTTAAATGAGTTTGCCCAACTTTGAATTTGGAACAGTCGGTTCAAGGTGAAAAGGATTTCTTTTGATCAACAGACAGCCAGTGGCCATAACGGAAATGAATTTGGCTAAACTTTATTGACACTCATCTTTGGTTGAATACTTCAATGTACATTTTTCGTATTAAAAGTTCAAGAATGGGTCATACAAGATTAAACCAACAAAAAGGGTAAGAATTTAATCATTTGTCATCTTAGAAATAGGTCAGCTCACCTGTCACTTTAGGTCAGACATTATCTTAATATCTTGTTAATTTTCTTGTGTTAGGTCTTAGTTGTGATAAAAGATTTTGTCCAATTTTTAGCTCAACTATTCGAAGTTCATTATGTATAGGGAGAGCTATGTTAGTTGTTACTCACCCAGGTGTATGCATCACACTTTCCGAAACTACTGAAAAATGAATGAGTTGGAACTTCACAATGTTTATATTTGAGAGCATAAATACATGTAGGAGGTCAGTATTCATGGCCCACAACTCTTATATAGTTTTTGACAGAATAATGGCCCTTTTTGAACTTGAAAAAAAAAAATCTACATAATCCAGGGCTCTCATGTTTTTGTTTCAAGAACTAAGAATAATTTTGTCTATACCAGTTGGGAAAATTATCTGTTCTATTATTACGGTTTCTAAAAATTTCATTTAATATCATGTAGTTATAAGTTATTTATTTGTTACGTTTAAATATTACGAAATTGTATTGAGGAATTACATTTTGTCTAGTTGGATACATTTGTCAGGAATTCTCAGTCCACTAGCACTGACTTGCATTCTACAATATTTTGAAAGTTTACCAAAAGAATTATGCATGTACATTATTATGTCAAAAATGTGGTTATTTCAAACATATGTTCAAATATAACATGATATGATGTCAGGGTAATATATTAAAACAAATACTACCAGATTGATAAATACATATTTCATAAATAAAGTCAGAAGTTGTACAAATATATTATAGGCCAAAAATAAAAATATGTTTGTTTACCCTTCCCGACCCATTAAAATTAGGGTTGGGTAGGTAGGTAGAAAATTTTTTTTTATATGTGCAGAATAATAAATAATCTGCATAATGTATAATGAATTAAAAAATTGGATTTATTAACTGAAATTATATTATAATTATGTACATGCATTACCATATTCACAACTGACATATGCAACAATTTACTAACTAAGCTAGCTGTCTAAAATATCAGATTAGATGTACCTATTGTACTTTAAAAGTAAAAAGATACTTTCATCCCCTAAGAAAGTGAAAAAAACCTTTTGGGTAAGGGCAAATTTTGTTGGGTAGGTAGGGAAGGAGAAACAAATTAAATTTTTTTTTAGGCCTAACATACTATGATTATGATTTATCAGTGTCATATATTGTATCAACATTCGTATATTATAAACTATATTGCAGTGAAAATATTATTGTATTATTGTACATATGAAATGCTTTGTTTAAAGTGTTTACAGTATGATAAGGGTAATTTAACTTATAAGTCATTCAGTGTGACTTATGCCTGCAGCAATGATGACTTGTCCCAGCTAATACATGTGTAACCACCCAGAGAGAGTCAGGGCAGCGTGTCTAAAAAATATGGTCTGACCGGACCATTGGCGTACCTGCGAAAAAAATAACATTAAAGGGACTCCACTGAGGTTTTTTTAACACGGTGGGGTTGAAATTTATATAAGTTGATATTTATGAAACTTTAACAACTATTTGGTGAAGGTCTGGGACCAGTAACTTTTTTGCAGGTTTTCAGATCATTCCCTCTCCATGTTTGTCCAGAATAATCATTTTTATTTTGCAAAATAACCCAAAATGAAAACCGTTCTGATGCTTTTCACTCAAATGTGCTGAGAATTGCACAAAATCAATATTCAATTTATTTCTGAGTATAAAATGAATTATATCTTTTTTTTTAAAAATTCCAGATTTTACCATTTTAAGTGCTTAACTTGATTTATATGTAAGAATTTGAAATTTTATAGTTTTCTAGGGGTTTTGACCTTAATTGAGTTTCATTAGTTTAAACGGTTAACAGCTGCATTTGTGTTATGAACACTACTGAACTTAGGTTCAGAAAGTTTCAAATCTAAGTTATACATCATAAAATAGGATCAATATATTATTTTGAGGAAATTAATATTGTACATGTATTAAGGGATGGTTTAATGACATTGTTTGAGATATATACTGTTAGTACATAATGCTGAGGGCACTGATCAGTATTAGAGATATACAGTTTTGTATAATGTACTGTAGGTTAAAACAACCCAACTCAACACATTAAAGTGACGAGGGATAATTTGATTTCACAACACAGATAAATTACCTGTTGATTATTAAATTAGTAATTATGAGGAAAATTTTGTGAAAAAATTATCTCAATTATGTACAAATGTTGTAATTTGTATGTAACCCTTACGCAGGTAAACAAGTGAAATTAAACATTTGTTGGTACTTTGACTTGGGATTATTCATTTTAAGTTAAGTATGAAAGTTTTTCATATTAGAAATTCAGAGTTATTTCTTACAGGTAGTTGAAGGGGCCCTTACCTTTTTACTAGAAAATAGCAAGGAAGAAAAAGAGAAAAAAAAAACAGATGTACTTTGAATCTTAGGGGAAAACTTCATAATTTTATAGAATTTTTTTTATCTTGAAGTTGAGAAGCAGTCCTTAAATGGCCCCTGGTGTGGAAGGGAAAATAAAGCTGTGAAGTTAAAAATTGGTCTGTGATACTACATGGTCATGTAGACTGGCCTGACTCCGTTACATCTTTTGGCATAGCAAAATCACTATATTTGCTAGTAAGTGAAGTACTAAGATATCAAAAGGGAAGAAATGCATACCAGGTAGCAATCTTTCCCTGTATTGTGAAAGTGATTTGAATTTGGATAAATAGTTTTAGCATTTATTTTTGAAGTGAGTTTTATTACCGATAAAATGTAGTAAATTAAGTTTAAAGCAACAGGAAATATCTTTATGATACATCACTTAATGTAGAAATTTGTCACCTGGCAAGTGCAATAATAGTGCATTTTAAAAGTCTTGTGGATATTTTTTATGGTAAGAAATGAATGTTTTGGAAATTGACAAAATTATTTTATTAACAATATTATTATGATATAGTTAACATTATATTTATATTATTTTATATGAATTAGAATTAAGAAGTAAATGATTAAATCATGAAAAAAGATTAACTTATGTCATGATGTGAAGTCAATCTGTGCTTGGTAACATTGTGTATGTAATATTAAAACATAAGTTAAAGGGTCTCCACTGAGGCTTTTTGACATGAAGGGGTTGGAAATAATTTTTCGAGATTAATGTTTCATTTGATGAAGGGTTAGACCAAAAACTTATGTGCAAAATTTCAGGTCATTCGCTGTAACAAATTCAAATTTTATGTTTTTAGGATTTTGGACCTCAGTGGAGTCCCTTTAAGATAAACCTAAAATATAAACATGTAATTATATGGTAACATTTTGGTATATCTTTATTTTCAGGTTGTAAAGTAATAAAGTTTGAATCAAAATGGGTAAATACAGTGGAAAAACTTGTCGTCTGCTAACCATGCTGAGTATGACATCATCGTTCTTCCTCGTAGAGATTATTGTTGGATATATCACAAATTCTATAGCTCTGGTAGCGGACTCTTTTCACATGTTATCTGACGTTGTGGCGCTTATTGTTGGCTTTGCCTCAGTCAGGGTAAGATATACATGTATATTATTTTGTAACATACTATCAGTGGTCCAGTTCATGCATAGGAACTGTTCTGAACATGATTCAGTGTTGTTTTTCTAGAAAACCAGTAAGTCATGAGAAAATAAGCTGCCAATAGGAGAGATTTACAAGTGGCTAATATTCTAAAAATAGAATTGCTGTTAAGCTCTGACCATAGCAACCGTTGCTGGTCGTACATGTACATTCTCTTTGTACTACCTGGTCATTTTACAAAAGAAAACTATGGTGCTATGGTGTGTATGTCTTATAAGAAATAATAAATATATGCTCTGTTTCAGACAAGTAGAGGTTTTATTGCTAAAGCATTAAGTCCCCTCCATCTCTGTCAAAAGCTTCTGTGATGGGCATATATTGCGACAATGTTGCCCTTGTTTCATTGTGAAAATTATATGTTCAGATATTTCTGATCTACATGTAAAAAACTTTTGCCCCAGGAGGTTAAACTTTAAGAAAAAGGTTTTCCATTTTTTACATGTGAATGTACAAACCCTTTTAAAAATTGTCCACACATACAGTGACAACTGGTTGAAATCTTTTCCTAAAAGATGGTTAGGGCACACATTGCAATATATATTATAACAAAAAAAACAAATGGGCAGAAATATTTCAATTTAAAACAGTAATTGGAAAAAAATTTGAACTGGTCCGTTCTAGAACCCCGGGTTTCCCCACTGTTTATAACTTAAGCATGCGTTCCTTACTGGCCCAAAAGGCCAAGTTCCACTTAGGGGGTAAAATGGATGCAATTAGTCCAAAATAATTTGGGGACTGCGCGACGAGATTTTTCTGCTATTTTCATGGTTTGGGCCCAAAATCTTTGCCTTTTTTAAAGCGAAAATTTTGCCCTTTAAAGAAAAAAATCTCAGAAATTTAAGGGTTTGGGATGTCAATATATTTTGACTAGATGTTCAATTATTGAATGTTTGTTAAAACAGAATTTTTTTTTGTTTGATTGGCGGAAAACTGTAAGCTTAAAAAAACACATTTTTAAAAATTTGGGTTTATGGGAAACCCAAACCCGTATAAAGGGTTAAGTTTTTTTGCTTTAAGAACCAAAAAGTTTGCCCTTGATTTTGGGGGTTTTAACCCCAAAAGATACCCGAATTTTTTCGATTGCTAGTCTGGGGTGTTTACAACAAAAAATTTTTTTACTTTTCCCTGGCCGAGTGGTACGGTCGTTGAAATTTTTTCAAAAAACTTTGCTTTTCCACGGGGGTTTTTTTTTCCTGACAGGGGCTTTTAAATTTTTTTCATGTTTAGGAAAACTATCAAGTAAGCTGAGGAACGTCAGTGGTTCAACTTGGGTGCTAAGTGTTCATGCCTAAAATATTGAAGTTTTATAAGTTGTTTTTTTAAGTGAAGATTTTTAACAGTCACATGTGAGCTCAGTGAGTTACTGAGCTATGTTCATGTCTGCATTACTGCATTGCACCTCTATTTGTAACGCTGGAAAGTTGCTAAAATGAAATTGATCTAATTTGTACATTGATGAATATAGCACATGTGTTTACTGAAGTTGTTGTTAAGTACTGATACAATTTTAGGCGGAATTGCAGATATTATAGTACAGGGTTAAAGGTGGAATTGCAGATATTTTAGGACAGAGTTTAGGTGGAATAGCAAGATATATTTTTATTTTTAAAAATTCAATTCTTTAATCTTTACTGCTATTACTAAATGCTAATGTTTATCGCTGTCTTGAGATGAAGTTAATTTGTTATTTGACTGCAGAAATCTTTTTTACTCTTGATGAAAAAAACTGTATTATAGGTCAAGTCATCTGAAATTTGGTATCAAAATTCATTTCCTTTGACTTAACCTTGATCATGTTACAAATAACAGTGATGCGACGCCCACACTGATAAAGAGACATATACTAAATAATTACCATTGTTGAAACTTAATTACATTTTTAACTTGAAATTTAGTCGACTTAGAAAATATACTTTTAACTTTATTAAGTTAAGATGCAAAACTTCTATGAAAGTATTCATATTCATGTAGAAGTAAATATCAGATTTTGATGTGATATTTGTTACTGAAATATATTCAGAGCATGATGCAATTAAAAAGTAAATGATATTATTACTATAATATATTCAAGCAGCACGTCTCAAGATTCTATTTGATAGGGGACGGTGTCACTTTTTCTAAACAACATCTCTGAAACAAAAAACAACTGTTAGGGGTCTAAATAGGGCATTTTTTTCACTATTTGAGGCCTCAAAAAGAGGGGAGGTGAAAAGGCATGAAAAAACTTCTATATGAAGTAATGGGTTAACTGAAAATGAATTAAAATATTAGAATTACCCAAAATCAAGTTTTTTCATGTTAAAACATGGCCTTGCACATAATTTTGAAGAAAACTTGTTGTTTTGCTGCATTTTTTATTTTGCTCATTTTAAAGAATACTATCATTGATTACCATTTGAGTCAATTTTATATGTGTAGTAAATTTTGTTATTTTGGCTTAATTGACTGATATGCCAAGTAACAGCTCTTCTTGGTCTGTTATCAAAGCCAATCTGAAATCACAAATTGAATCAATAATATATTGATGTACCAGTTATGGCTATCTTTTAAAACATTACATGTAACATAGTTTTGGCAACAATATATTCAACAATAAGTTGACAATGTACTACAAATTGTTTATTACAATATTATAATAATGTCAAACTGTTGATTGCCTTGTTAGTAGAGTCGGTTTATCATACAGATATTACCATCTTTGTAAGAATTATAGAATAACATCTTTCATACGTCTGCTAGTGAAACAATCTTCCTTTTATAGAGAAGATTTAAAACCTAAAGGGACACGGCTGAGAATTTTTTTACATGACAGAATAGGATTTAAATTCGAGATTTAAATTTTCCATTTAATGAAGGTCTTGACCAATAACTTATGTATACATTTCAGATCATTCATTTTCCATTCTGTTTTTTTTTCCAGAAAATTTATTCTAATTCTGAAAAATAACCCAAATTAAAAAATGTTGCAGCCATTTTCACTCAAAACTGGCAAAGAATAGCACAAAAATACATTTTCAATTTATTTCAGAATTAATTTCTTAATTATGTTTTGCATATCTTTCTTCTTTTTATTTTTTAAGTTAAATTTTATGCTTTTAAAGGCCTTTGGACCGGCCCAGTGGAGTTTTTTTAACAGTAATCTAATGTATTAAAGTGTAGGATGATAATTTATGTTGACAAGAAAGATGGAAGTTGTTGATTTCATTGAAATCAGTATTCTGATGAATGACTGCACTTAATTAGAATTTTTCGTTTTTACTTAGATTCATATCTTCAGATTTCTAAGTACATTAGTTTGATGTTTTATTTTTGTTGCCATAACCAGATAGCTGATGAAATTTAAGCAAAAAAATATTGATGTTTAATAATTATTAGAAAAAAACTCAAAATATTTTATATGCAACTTCAGATCAATTTAATGAATGCGAATGTGGGGGATTTTGATGTCGTAAAGCTTAAAGTTGTGCAGCCAACAGTATATGAGTCGAGTCATGACAAAACCAACATAGTGGGTTTGCGACCAGCATGGATCCAGACCAGCCTGCGCATCCGCGCAGTCTGATCATGATCCATGCTGTTCGCTATCAGTTTCTCTACTTGTAATAGGGTTTGTAAGGGAACAGCATGGATCCTGATCAGACTGCGCGGATGCGAAGGCTGGTATGGATCCATGCTGGTCACAAACCCACTATGTTGGTTTTGTCATGACACGGCTCATATAATGTGTAAAGTCAATAGCTTAGTAACCTGTAAATATATGCGTGTGTTGGTTTGTCTTAAGTATCTAGTATAAGTAGCATTAAGACAGGTCGGCATTTATTCTGAGCCACTAACAATAAATATAGGGGTTCTAAATATCATAAAAAAATGTATTTTGATTTATCACTTAACTTCCTGAATTTGTAAAATGGATTTGCCTTCCTGGTTTGAAATTTGAAAGTTGCAGGGATATTATTAATAAAGCACAACAATTGAACTTCCACTGCAAGAATGTGCAGACTGACCAGGATTAAAATTATACTGAAGTGACTCCAGCAGGTAACTGGTTAATGCAGTAATTAAACTTAAACAAACTTCATTTAGTTCCAAACTTTGGCCGTCAGAGACTGCAAAATGTGTGAAATTGGAAGTCACATTAAAAAATATGGTATAGAAAAAGAAGGAAAAGTATCACATTTTGGAAGTCACAAGCCAAAATCAGAGAGTAAATGACTCGCAAACTCCCACTAACTAAAGCCCTGTTAAATAAATAACTGATAAATGTACACATTTCAATTGCTCATATTTTGACATTAGATATGAAGTTTTTTTTATAACGCATTACTTTCAAAGTTGGGAAGTAGAAAGTGTTAAGATCTTAGTTTTGCAACGACATTGTCTTCTCATGCGACCAGTGCAGACCAAGAACAGTCTGTACATCTAATCAATGTCTTCATTGTTTGCAATTCAGTCAATAGAATTGTACATATCATCAGCTTAGTCAGTTAGTGCAATAACAGATTAACTCATATGAAATTTTTGCATGAGTTAACCCATTACTGCACTAAGGTGACAATTTTTGGAAATTTCCCTAAAATATTGAATGGTTCAGATTGAAACAGTTATTGGACAAGTTCATTTGATTGATATTTTGCATGAGAAAGGATTAAGAAATTTGAAATAGTTTTAAAAGACTTTTTATGACAAATTTTACATAATTACCATTCATTGGGTTGGTAATACTTTTATCAATAAGACGTAAATACTTGAAGGCTTAATAATTAATGGCTGATTGATTTTGATTGCCTTTAAGTTAGACATTACATGAAATGTTTTTAGGAAACTTAACTTTGTCCATTAATGTAAATATCATTTGATCTTCAAACTGCAAGCATTGCTTGTTTTTAGATAAAACGTTTTTCTCTTAAATGTTAATTTCTTGTAACTGGTACGAATAAATTAAATAAAATTATAATTAGTTTTTGATTGAGTTGTGTTATACGATAATTTAGGTACAATTTATCTATGCTACAGACAGGAATAAAATTACAGTCCAGCATATCTTTGCATACTTTTATATCAAACTATACAATTGCCAACACTGATAGAATAATCAATTGGGAAAATTCTGCCTCAACTTGGAACTTGAGAATTTAAAGACAGATACATAAGCAATAACAAAGGAATTGATTGAATACATTTCTTAGTAGAAAATTTGTTGAAAAATATTGTTTGTCTGCGTCCCTCTTTTAATGGAGATAAACTATGTTAACTAAAAGACATATTTAAAAAAATTATAAATTTTACTTCACTATAAGAAAATAACAAACATAAAATTTTGATATTGACACAAGGAATACCTCTTTTAGGTAAAATAGTAAACGGGTAAATGAAGTTTTGTGTACAAATGCCTACATCTATTGCTTACAATGATGGTAACAATTTATGTCCTTTGGTTGTGTCCACATTTTACTTGTACAGTAAAATAACTTTAATAAGTATTGTTTTTTATTTGCTCCATATATGATGTTGAATAGCAGATAATATTGATTATTATTAAAAAGAACATGTTATTTTTAAAGAGAATTGTTTATATGATCAGAAAAGCTGCAGCATGCTTTAATTTAGAGACCATCATGGCTATTTTAGCAATTGGAACCAGAAATCCTATCTTTGATGTAAAAATTTATCATTATTCTGCATCATCAGCTTAAATGTTTGAAATTTTCAGGGGAAAATGACTGTTGTTAAAGAAAAAACACTAAATTGACAATTACTTTACCCTTTTATTATTTCAGATCTCAAAATGGCGCTCTCAGAAGAACACATTTGGTTGGGCGAGAGCGGAAGTTGTCGGAGCTCTCGTAAACTCAGTATTCCTTATAGCTCTATGTTTTTCTATCTTGGTCGAGGCATTGAAGAGACTCGTTGAAATAGAAAAAATAGAAAATCCGAAGTTACTCCTGATCGTAGGTGGCGTCGGTCTCCTGATTAATTTCCTCGGACTTGCCTTGTTTCATAACCATGGTATGTGCAGTGATTATATTATAGTAATATGGCATTTGGTTTGTCAACTGCTAGTTTGTGAAGAAAAAAATATACAGTGTTCCCTCTAGTATTGAAAGAAGTATGGTTGAAATAACAGGTTTTTCTTGCACTTTTTATTATCTCAAGAAGAGACTTATAGCAAAACTTAAAACATTGGGTGATATTAGAGATATAATTTCGAGTAAAATAAGTTAATACCCCTAAATGGAGGTATTTGGGACCACTTTTAGTATCATTTTTTGGTTTGGAAATTTATGATGTTTTTCATTGCTCAAAGTCATAAATCCTGATATTTATTTTATAACTGGAAAATATGTTTTTATTTACATTATTCATTCAGTATAATTATACATGTATAGTGATTGAAACAGCTGTTGTTTGTTATGAGTAGTTTAACATAGATGTATAAATATTTTTAAAGAGAATGTTTACAACTATTGTTGAAGTATGTTGATAGGCACTTTTCCACTTAGTCATAATAAATGGAAATGTTAAAGATTTAATATTTAAACCATTACAGACATTACATTCATACACTAGCAAAAAGTGCAATCATACTCGGGTTGAGTGGTTTGAGTTGCTGTCTTGGAATCACTGACCCCTCACCACTTTGGGTTTGATTCCCATCAAATCCATCAATGACTTTGAATTCTTTCATGTGAAGAAGTTTAAGCTATTCATTTAGCTTACTGAAAGTTGATAGCCATACTCAGATTCTTTTGTGACTGAAATAATGCAGGGAGGGGCACTTCCTCCACCAGTAAAGCTGGAAAGTCACCAAAGGACACTTAGTGTCAATGTGATTTTAAAAACCGGACCAAAGAAAAAAATTAGTATTTTGTAATTTTTACAATAAATCAACAATTTTTTTTTGACTGATTCCTATCATTATTGGCTAGTCATTTTCATGAGAAATGTCTTGTCATGTTATTATGCAAATATAAATTGTATTCTCCATCCAAATTCAAATGATAAAAAAAATCCCTAGGTTCTTACATGTGGATTTGTTGAATTTTAAAGAAAATGCTTATTGATGATGAGTTACTTCCACATTTTGATCTTTTTGTTCCATATCGTTGAATAGGGTTATGTAAATTTTACTAAAATTTGGCTCTTTTAAATATTTGCTTACAATGTCTATTGTTTCATTAAAGGTCACAGTCATGGTGGAGGTGGGGGTCATGGTCACAGTCATGGCGGAGGTCATGGCCACAGTCACGGGGGTAAAAATACAGAGGATGACCATATAGCTCAAAAAGAAAGCGATTCATTGGTCGAAAGGAAACCAGGATCAGTTGAAGGAAGTTCTAGTGGGTCTGAGGCTGATATGGAAGAAGTGACAATACAATTTGATGAGAATAGAGTTTGTAAGTAACATAACCTTATATTTATCGGAGGTGTGCAGGTCTACTCAGGTGCTCACTCATACCTGAAATAACGAATGGATAGGCTCCTGAGCATGGAAAGTTAATAGGCAGGCACTATATGACCAAAACTGTGTCGGCTTAAAACACAACCAAATAAATAAAATATCATTATAATTTGTTATACATTAACAAAAAAAAGAAGCTTTTTGCAGATGCCATATTGCTTTACAGAGTGCAATTATTTAAGTAAGAGAGTCATGTACTTGAATACATAAAAAAAGTTACAAGACTTTGTTTTTATATTTTCAGCTTCAAGTGCTCAACTTAATATGAGAGCAGTATTTTTACATGTACTGGGTGATGCTCTGGGCTCAGTGATTGTTGTAATAAGTGCTCTAGTTATTTGGTTTGTAGACGAAGACTGGGTGTACTATGTAGACCCTGGTATGAGGTAAGCTCTTAGATTTCTCTTTGAGTATTTTTCCAGTAACCGGCTGAATTGAGTAAATTGACATAATTGAGCCTAATTGGACTGCACAAAACTACCAATATTGCACCTTGCAATTTAATTGATAAAAAAGACCTTTTCATCTTATTTGGTAGGACTCTTACCAGTATATAACAACCTTTTCACTTATGAAATGAATATGAAAAGACCTTTTTCGTTTTTTTTTAACCACTCTAATCATGGGTCTTTCTACGAATATTAATCACTGCAGAAAGTAGATTTTATAATACTTCAAGCCAGTTCTAAGCTTTCATCGCAATGTAGCTTTAATATTGATATGTGTTTGCATATTCCATAAATACTCAAACTCCAAATATTCCAGGTTGTTGTAGACATTTTATATAATGTATTAATGCATTTTATTTTGTTTACAGCATCGTCATGGTGTGCATAATTTTATCAACAACAATACCACTTTGTAAGTATATTTATTTATACATATTTTGTATATGTTATACAGTTCTTCCATTTTATTTCCCATTGAATTTATTTAATCTGGCAGTATTTTGTTTTTAGCTTAACTATTCGAAGAACAGGGAGACCCTAGCCTCGGTATCTTAGTCACACTTCGATTTAGTTATAATTAGTCTGCACTGTTTGCTATTTAGTTAGTACATATTTTTTAAATTCACCCTAAAAATGATGAATCGTTCTGTCCAGATTGGAAAATGGACAATCAATTTAAAGTATTTAAGTAAGGGTTTAGTTAAAAAGTAAAATATTGAGAGTAGATGAGCATCATTTTTCTTTGTGAGTTCTTGTTTTTGTCATAGATAGAGATTGGCTAATCTTTTATTGCAGTAAAAGAAGCAGCATTAATACTTCTACAGACAGTACCTACACATATACAAGTAACAGATATAAAAGATAAAATGATGAAAGTAAGTTGCTTAGATTTATGGTGTTTTAACAATATAACTTTTTGGTTTTATCAAAAATCCTGCAATGTTTGGGTTTTTTTTTTTTTGTTCACTTGTTTTCATGTTTGTAACTGAAATTTCAATATTGACTTTTACTTAACTATTAGCCTGCTGCCTGTCTCCTTCAGTGCCGACCAAGATCAGGTTGCACATCTGTACTGCTCACTATTCAGTCAATACATATCTTGATACTTTCCCTAAAAATGATGATTGGTTTGTCCAGATTGAAAGATGGACAAGTCGTTTTAAGATACTAAGCTTGGTAAGGGTTCAGATTATTGACTTTTAGAAATTCAAAGCAGGCCATTAACACTGACATAGATTCAGCAGGGTAAGGTTTGAACTGATATTATAACTGTTTATTTTTTGCCTACAGATAGATGGTATAGAAGCGGTACACGAGTTTCACGTGTGGCAGTTAGCAGGAAATCGTGTGATTGCCTCCGCCCACATCAGATGTCATAATCCACACGAATATATGGCTTTAGCAGGGAAAATAAAAGACCTCTTCCATAATGAAGGAATACATTCCACAACTATACAACCTGAATTTTCTGAGGTATTTTCTTTTGAAAACAATTTTATTGTTAAAATGCCTTTTAGAAACCTTATTAGTAGCTATACATTTAAAAAGAAAAAGAAGACGAGCTATTTTCATAACCCTCTCATTGGCATTTGCTAACCTATTTCCCAGAAACTTCAAAAATCTATTCACTTCAAACTTGGCATACATGTTTATTGTCATAATAGTCATAATAGGGCACCATTTAAAAGTGTAAGTAATCCTTAAATTATATTTTTGCACAGGAAATGTTCGGTTTTTTTCTGCCATCAGTTCATTATTTCAAAGTTATTTTTAATCAAATTTTCTGTGAATGTATTCATTTCTGCAGAATAATTTTCGAAGGATTTCAGTGATTTCTATGTGATAAATTTTAAAATTTTCTATTCCAGGACTGGGACAACATGCAATCTAGCTGTGTTTTAGCATGTGGTCCAGAGAAAAATTGTTACCCTGACACATGCTGTGCTGTGTCAAAGAAGACTTCGCCAAACAAGTCAGAAAATGGGACCGTTACAACCAAGAGGCGGGCAGGGAATGGAAAACAGTCGCCGCCAAATGAAATCGTATGATTTAACAAAGTATTAGGAATTTTGATGATAAGTTTGGGAACAAAACTATTTATACTCTCAGTGTTTCTTCATGAACAAAAATCAGATTGTGTGTTGCAATGTATTGGTGTGTAATTGATTATATAGGTGCTTAATTATTTTGTCATAATTGTTGTCAAACGTCGATTTGAATTAGTTTTTCAGGTTTTTGACTGAAATATAGATTATGTCTTTATGGATTTTATCGAAACTAAAAGGCATTTAATACATATTGTCAAATGAATTTTTAGCCTGAAATATGTTGTTATCATTTTTTATAGATTTTTACTCAAAACACTTAAAACTGTTGACATCTGTAAAGTTTTAAGTAATAGAAATGTTGGTCTTTACTGAGAGGTGGTCTTTATTTGAAGGTTCACTGAATATCTTTAACACATAGCAAACGGAAAGTTTATGGTTTTATGAAAAGGGATTGATAACTTATGAGCAGATGAGCGGACAGAGAAAAAAATCTAAAATTAGGACATTGTACTGTCTGGTTATAACGTTACGTTTTTTTTTCATCCTTGCTAGTTGGTGCAAACATTGTTACTTTCTGTGCCTTTTGTTTATGTTTTAAGAAAATTAAATATGTTTTTACAAGAAGGTTATGATTTTTGCCTATTTGAGCTTTTTATAAGACGGGGAAAGTGACAACATTGGGTAAACATTAATAGTAACATTTGATTGATTCATTTAACTTATTTATATATTAAGACTTGAGAATATCATACTAAAATCATTATTCGTTATCAATGTTCTTATCAATATGGCATTGTGTTCAATTAAAGCTAATACTTCTGTTCTATAGTCAATGTGAAAATTTTATTTTGAAATCCACATTCTATATCCCAGTGACTGAACTGCATGAGGTTTCTGTATTAACCCGCCTATAGGACTGATAACTCATAAGACGGGGTCCAAACTTTGCCTTAAAATTGGGATATATTGCATTGACAGACGAACATTTTGGAAAAAGTACACACTTTTTAACTAATACTTACTTTAAATTAGTATCCCACATAATTTTTTTTATAAAAATGGGATAAAACACACAAGTACAAGCTAATGTACAATTAATTATGACACAAATGCTATTTCTCTCCTGTGATGAAGTCATGATGTGATCATGTTTAAACATTGTTTTATAATGTAGATATTGTACATTTATAGTGTTTTATCTATGTCTATATGTTGAATTTGTATTTATATGTATATATGAATTGGAATATTGTAAATTTTTATGTGTGTTATGGGGCTTATCCATATCTTGTGCATTTCATAATGATATTTTTATGCTCTCCAAATTTTTTAAATGGAGCATATGTTATGGCTTTTAACTGTTGTATCATCAAACTAACAAGAAATTTCCTTTACCTTTATCGACTTATCGACTGGTATCGTAGATTTTCGGCATTTTTGAATGATCTGTTGACTGGTTCATTAAAGCTCGGTTTCAGGTTGATGAAGACAAGGTTAAGGTCATTGAGAAAAAAAATAGATTTTTTCCTTCTTTTCTGCATAGCTAGGCAATGTATCCAATAGACATATACATTGGAGATTTTCATTTTTTATTCAATACAAGCTAGTCATGTAATTTACATAGATCACCATTCTATGATACTGACTTAGTCATGTAAAGTTACATGTGTTAAGTTCATGAGAGATCATCAAAATTTGGCTTTAATATTTATTTTACTGATCTCAGTTATTTTGATATATATATATGTGTGTGTATATTTTTATTAATCAAAAGTATTTCTTAAAGTTACACATATCAAATTATTATAGGAAAATTACACCAATCCACTGTGTATTATTTTCATAAACAAGTAATGTTACTCGTCACCTTAGTGCAATAACTGGTTAACTCCTATTAAATTAGAAGGACTTAACCCGTTTTTGCACTAAGGGGACGAAAGTCATGCACTAAGGGGATGAAAAGTCATTAAGATAGTGAAAATAACATTGATATTCTATCCTTGCCAAAAAATATATCATAGATTTTAAAATGTAGAATGTAGCAGATTGTATAAATCTATAAATTTCAACAATGTAGAATGTAGCAGGTTCTATAAATGTCTCATTATGGTTTTGTAGACTTGCATTTTACTGGTCTCCGAATATTCCACTGATCTTAAGCAATGCCACATTTAAATGGTATGAAAATGGCATATGATTTAAAGAATACCATATTTAGCTGGTATTTTTATAAATGGTATGAAAGTGAAATATTTAAATCATCTTAGGAATGGCATATTTTGCTGGTATAAAAATGTCACATTTAAATGGTAAAAATGGCTTAATGGTTAACTCTGGTATTAAAAATGCATTTTTAATTGGTGTAAGAAATATATCTCATTCGAATGGTATAAAATGACACATCTGACTGGTTTCAAAAATTCCATATTTATCTGGTTTAAAAAAATTACATTTAAAACAGGTATAAAATTAGCATTTTAAACTGGATTATCTTATGTAACTTGTCTTACACATTGAAACATTATAAAAACTGGTATGTTTAAATGTTCTCAATGATAAAGCATTTAACTGGCCTCGTACAATGTCACATTAAACTGGTCTAAACTCATGCCACATTTGTCTTACTGGCTATCAAGATTCACTTGCCCATTATAGCATTCATGCCATCATTATTTTAGTTGATTTTTCTATACTCTCCCAGCTCAGGTGTGCTTTTATTCTTTCAGTAGGCATTAAAAAATGTTTGTTTCCAGTTGCATAACTTTATCTACAACTAACTTAAGCTAGAATCTCTAAAAATATATTTATTTTTAGCTTTTCTGTTCGAGCTATTATGATCGCAGGGGTGTCATTGTCGCCTTTTTTGTTGTGCAAAAACTTTAATGTAGCCCATTATTCAAACATTTAAAAAAGTTATTAACATGATACTTGGAATACTGGTACTTCTTGTCATAACAAGATGCAGTTGTTTGACAAGAGGCATAATTCTGATAGCAATATTTTTAGAGTTTTTTTTCCTTTTAAAGATGGGTGTAAAACACCCGGTGCGGTGTTGATAATTTAAATTCATTTATGTTTTGTAAGGCAGGTGGAAATAAACATTTTCTCTTGGGCCATATTGGCCATACTGCTTCCTAACAAATGCAATACTAATTATATTTTATCCAAGAGTTTCAGTTTGATTTATGATTAATGTTGTCCTTTTACTGTATTTCTAATTTGTAACCTTTGTTTTTTTGTTCTTTGTTTTGACTGTTAAAAAGTGATGCTATTCTATTTACCTCGGGTGGTGAAATTTATTCTGTGTGCTACTTTCTGTTTAATTTCTCATTAAACACTGGACTTACTCCTTTTTGAAAATTTACTCGTGTTTTTTTTTAATCATATTTATAGGTAACTAACCCAAGACCCCTAACTGTAGCATAGATTATGACTGAATTGTTTCCCTTTTGTAAATATAAAAAGTTCCTATATCATATGACCATAAATTTACCATAAAGCATGGAGTTGTTCCGACATACAGGGGCATACTGTCCGTCCTGTGACAGCTCTCATTATTATTTTGAAATATTTTCTGTTGTGTATAAAAAGTCTTTGTCATGATTGTTTGAAATGAATTTATTTTGGAGTGTATATATTTAACTTAAATTGTATATTCTGTTTAGGTGTATATTTTTAATTATAGTGTCACATTAATTTTTGTACAGTATCAAATACACTATTACACTGTAAGCTTACATACAAGTGTGTTTTATCTACAAAAGAAAATATGTCTGAAAATGATATGTGTAAATTTGAAATGAGACATTTATAAAAGGCATTAAATTATTTTATGATTTTAGTTATTTTATAATTCTAAAAAAAGTTATAGTGATGCATTGCCTCAAATTGTGGAATGATTCTTGTGGTTCATCATATTTTTGTTTTCTTTTGGTGCTAGATGATAAATCAAATAATGTTAGCAAGTGTGAGGCTACACCTGAAATAATGCTCTGTGGCCTGGGTACACTAAATCTTACTCCACCAGTGGATCTGACAGTCATTACACAAGAGAAACAATTTATCTGGTGTGACTTTAACCCTAGAGAAAAAAATTTCAATCTTGTATTTTTTTGAATATCTCTTATTTCTCTTTGATGTGTGGTTTCTTTGTATTCTTCCTTCTCATTCGATCTCTTACTTCTATAAACAGTCACTACAAAAATACATTTTTGTTTTGTATTGTATTATATTGTAAAAGTCAATGCTCAGTTGACCATAGATATAAGGAAAACACCAAAGTACATTTTATTTATACTGCTCTATTTTAATGAAATGATGAGCAGACACAACTTGATAAATTTGAATAACATTCTTGTTATCATTTTGTCATTTTAGCCAGAAAACGATGGGGGAGAACTTGCAAAAGTCACTATTATTATGTTAAACATGTGTAACTTGAACCCATAACCTGCAGGGACCAGGAGTGTTAAGCCTTTACCACCAGTATACAGCCGAGTCAGTCTGCACAACCATGCAGTCTCACTTGGCTCTATACTTCAGGTAGCTCAATTTTTTTAAACTGAAAGCCCTTAAACTTTGAAAAGACAGTTCCAAGTGCAAAGAACTTGGCAAATGCATTACATAAAATTCAGCATTTATGGTTTAAAGAAATACTTAACAGTTATATAAAATTATAAACGTGTGATGTCAAATGAGAAAGAATCTATTGCTTTAAAACATAATGAATTCCAATCATATATTACATCATGTGCTTTGATTTTGTTGATATTGTTTTTTTTTATACTTTATGAAATCAGTTATCAGAACAATGTTCTGAAAAGTATGAAATCTAAATCAACTATTTGGATTTATTTTGATTTATTTTTTCATTGTTCTGATGAATTGTACATGTAATTTGTTTTGTTACTATGGAAACATAGTAAATTTTATTTATGTCTCAAATGCAAACTTATATAAGTAAGCAAACATAATATTGTATATCAACTTGCTGTTGTACATTGACAGTATAACAATTTTCACACTAACATTTTTTATATCTTACATTACCATAACAAATCTGTGTTATGTCTTAACAAAATACATTGACAGCATCTCTTGCATTGGCTGATGTGTTGCATTTCTAAGAATGTCATATGTAACATTGTCATAGTACTTTTGTTTATGTCTGACACTTAATCTAACACAATACAATGAGTATTATGTTTTACATTGACATGAAGTCTTACATTAGCTTATGTCTGACACACTAAGGCAATGATTGTTATGTCTTACATAGATAGGATGTCTGACATTGGCTTAAGTCTGACACTTTTACTAACACAAATGATTGTTATGTTTTACATTTACAAAATGTCTGACATTGGCTTAAGTCTGACATGTGTACTAACACAATAAGTGTTATGCCTTACATTGATAGGTTGTCTTACATTGGCTTATGTCTAACACTTGAACTTACACAAAAGTTTTATATTTTACATTGACATGATGTCTTACATTGGCTCATGTCTGACATTTGTTCTAACACAATTAGTGGAATGTCTTATATGAGGTTATGTCTGACACCCTAAGGCAATTAGTGGTATGTCTTACATTGACAGAATGTTTTACATTAGTTAATGTCTGACACATTGAGGCAATAAGTGGTATGTCTTACATTGACAGAATGTTTTACATTAGTTAATGTCTGACACCTTAAGACAATAAGTGGTATGTCTTACATTGACATGATGTCTCACATAAGCTAATGTCTGACACATACACTTACACAATGAGTGTTATCTCTAATCTTCTCTTACAATGGCATTCAGCATTAATTTAGTTACTCTATGATGTCTTACACCAACAACCATCTCTTACATCTGGCATCTAACATTGACATGATAAATGTTATGATTAACATTGACAATTTCTGTTACATATTTTCATGTCTATTCTTCCACAAAACATAGTTAATTTATAAAAAAAATGCATTCAGGCATGTCTTTTCTGTAATAGTTCTCAACTTACTTGTTAATTTTTGTTTTATCTCAGGTTTTAAAGTCTTTAGACATTTTTTTCAGTATTCTCAAAGTTAACTACCTAATTATGTGAGAATTCTCAAGATTTTGTATATATCATGGGTCTTTTTCATGTATATAGAAATATATGGATGAAAAAGTCATTTGTAATTCTGTTTTTATAATTACTAATCTTGTTTTGAACAAAAAATGTCTAGTGTGCTTCTGCTACAATATTGCTGTATTTATTATACGAAGAAAATTGTTGTTAACTATGAAGCTATTAAATCATGCAACTATAGTTGTTGTTGTTTTTTATTAGCCCTGGACCATGGATAAGTAAAATTTCAGTCTTATTAAGTCTTGAAATATTTACAGTTTGTGATACTAATTAACGATATACATATATGTAGGCACACTTGAAGTCTTTGTAAGGAATCATTTTACCATATTCTCTATTTTGAAACGCTAAAATGCATATACCATTCAGAACACCTTGCCGATTACTCCTAATCATTCTGACCAAAAGTTTGACAGAAAGAGCCACTGTTTCTATACTTTTAGTATAGGAGGGGCATATTTTATTGTAACCAGTGGCAGTGAAAGTACATGTATTATATTCCGTTGGAAAGATTATCGATTTTTGTGTCGCCTCTACGGAGTAGTGGCGACATATAGGGATCACTTCTCAGTCTGTCTGTCCGTCACAAAACATGTCCATGTCCGGACCACTCCTCATAAACTACTGGTGCAATTTCATCCAAACTTTACAGGAATTATCAGTACCAAGTCTAGTTGTGCATATTATCAGCCTTTTCCGGTTCAGTGAATTTTGTAAGAGTTATGGCCCTTCAAAAATTTCTATTTTTAAAGTTTGTCCGGACTACTTCTCTTATACCACTTATGCAAATTCAATGAAACTTAACAGTATTGATCTGTAGCTCAAGTCCTTGCGCATATTGCACTGGTTTTCCGGTTGAATGATTTTTGGCTGAGTTATGGCCCT